AACAGTTTGTCCTCATGAAGGCTATACCAACATAACTGTAGATATATTTTCATATTTTTAGCTCTTTATTTCCATCTGTAAATAAGCCCCAGATATTCTGGGGGGAACCAGTCCTCTGTTGGGATCAAGAAAAAAATAAGTAAGCAAAAAGAACCAACAGAACAGAAAAGCCAGGATGATGTGATGGAAGATCAAATACTGACCACACTGAGATAAAACCCAAGATTCAAAGACGCTGAGAAATGGGGAAGATTACAGCCCAGAAGCTTTGATGTTATCCTGTTTCTGTCAGATTTAACTGAGGTGGAATATGCTTGGTCCTACCTTTCAAGGAACTGTTTGTCTGGATTCAAATTTCATAGCTTGGGCCAAAGAAACAAACTAAAAACCACTTATTTGTTATGCCTTTTGGTGCCATTTCTTATCTGTGGCTCTGAAATATTTGCTCAGTAGTCACCCTTGAGTGGTTTTTGAATTTATGTAAAACTTTTATCCTTCAGACAGCCGAGCTGATGTTCCCCAAAGGGGAGATTTGAATTATTTTTTTTTCGTCCACCTGGTACAGCATTTCCCATCTGCCTCAAACAGATTTAAAAAAAAAAAAAAAGCCTTTGCATGAGTTGCATTCACAGCTCAGCTGACACTCAGCTCTGCGGGATGTAACTTGTACTTCCCAGTTGTCATACATCTAAGGAACTTTTTTCTAGCTGTGCTTCTGAGGTCAAGTAGGACAAAAGAAGAGATAAGAAGTAAATGCCACCAGTCCTCAAGTAGTGATTTTTCTAATATTCAAGCCATTAAAGCCTTTCGTAGCAGCCGTATTTTCATTCCTATGAAGAAGTCTAGCTTACAAACACGGACTTATCTGATGAGTATTTGGATTCATTGTGGGGAAGTTGCTGGAATTTATTAAGCAACAAAGTAACAACAAACTTTCCAGCGCTAATTTTGCTGCTCCTGTGTAATGGCCTTCAGGAATACTCTTTTATGACCATCTGCCACAGCATCTGCATTTGCAGTCAGTATGTCTACCAGTGCTGTGGACCAGTATCTGTGCGGTATAGGTACCAGTTGAAGTGCTGGATGCACAAGTCAGTGTAGGCCACTTGAATCTGTGCAAAAATATCAATGAGACGTCACCTCCAGTATTATACTGAGTCACTGCAATAACATACGCTTCTGGTGTTTCACTATCAGCTTTCAACAAAGTCAAAAGGAGTTGTTTCATTGATTTCAGGGATCAAACAGAAAGGAAAAAAAGGAGGGGGCAAGGGAACGAGATTGTCTGGGTTTTTTTTTTCTGTCTCACTGATGTGTGACATTTCCATCTTCAGTTTTGATTAAATTTCCCTTAATTAGCCCATTAAGCTAAAACCACCAAAGCTAATGATTGAAATGTTGGTTAACTGATGATCTTGTTTCAATGGAATTTGAAAGTCATCATATTTCTAAATTAATAGTGGCATTAAACTAGAGAAGAGAAAAAGATGAACCATTTGTTGCAGAAGTGCTGGTCTCAAGAGAAGATTTGTACTGAAATTGCATTCATGTTTGGAAAAAAATAATCAGATTAATAGACAACCGGAACAACACTGATGGTCCTAAATAGTGTTTAACGTTCACATGATTTTTCTGTTTTGGTGGCATTTCTGTTATTTTTTTCATCCCTGGTGAACTTCAGGACACTTCTCAAGTGTTCTGGTCCCAGTGCTCCTGCAGGTGAAATCAGCACGGCTGTCTCTTAACTCGAATGAACTGTAAATAAAAGTAAGGCGCAACCTATTTCATTCTTAGATGGCTGTGTTAGATGGCACTCCCTTCAGTGACAGAAATACTGGTTTGTATCGTGCCTTTTTGTTCTTAGGGGCTGAACATTTGGTAATTCTCATAAGAACAACCCTTCATAAGAGGCATGACATGAACAGTGCATCAAAGGAGAATACCTTGAGGTATGAAGCTTAGGTTCTGCCAAGGAAATTGCCTAAAGCTATTTTCAGAAGTATTTAGTTGCCAGGTACAAAGAAGGTGCATAGTAGTCTTTGCAGAAGTATCTGTCTTTTATGCAACCTGAGCTAAAATCTGCAGAAGTGGAAGGAAAATCTGACATGGAGGACCATGTCTAAGGACTGCTCATTTTGTCTTTGTAATTCATTTCCCAGCTTCCGTTTAGCACTTTACAAACATAAGTACACATCAAAATGTCCACATCGCCAAGTGGCATTTAGTGTGCACCCCCAGGAAAAAGGCCAAAGATGAAATGTGTCAGAAGCTCAGTTCCAGTGGTCCCTTCAATGTAGCGCCGAGATTCACTGTGTACAGGGCATTGATTTTCAGACACAGGCAGCTGAAAGATGTGTGGCTGAATCCATTTCCACCTTACTTCTTCCTGGAGATTTCAGCATCACAGAACAGGGAGGGAGAAGATTCTGCTGACCTACAGCCTGTAATTTACAGTCCAAGGTCGGTCATGGTTCTCTATAACATACCAGACTGTGATCTGTGGTGGTTCAGGACCTGTTTCACATACAGTTTGGTCGTCTCTGCTGCTGGTCAAGTAACTTACAGGAAAAAGGAGATCAGAGCCCACTTCGCTGGGCTGTCCAACAGCTTTTGTTTAAGACTCACATGGCATGTCTTGAACTGAACAGCTTATGTTTATGATAGAGCTTGTAGTTTCATTCGAAGTGTTGCGAGATGTCAGCTGTGGAACAAATGGGGAGAGGAGGAAGGGGGAGGACAGCTGATGTACTTGGAAGCCAGTTTAACATCCAAGGATTTTATGTTCCTTCTAGTTCTCCTAGACGTACCCACAGTGTGTTTCAGGTATACCAACTAAGAACTGTGAGGCTTCTGGCAACGTCAGGCTGCAGTTGCGCTTTGTATGGATTGAGAAGGCAAAAAATACACTTTTGTGATCTTGAGATTTGTTTGGATGGCGCTGCTACCTTTTGAGCTGATAAGGGTGGAGCACTTAGTGAGGAAAATTGTCGTGCTGTTTGGAGTTTCCTTTGATGCTAGGGATACTCTTCCTTCCCCATATCCACTGTTCTTTGTGTCAATTACCTGCTCTTTCGTAGCAGCTGCTTGTGTCTTCAGAGCATAAAAAGTCCATCTTAGAAAAGTCTCTCCATATGTCCAGTGCCTATCTCCCAAGGAGCAAGAAATTTCAGTATTGAAGTATCATTGTTTTACTTTACCAGAAATAAAGGAGGAGGAACATAGTAACTATGTCAGCTCTTTCCTGGTGTGAATGGGCTGTGTTCTGTTCTAAACCCTTTGCACCTTTAAGGGACTGCCTTCTGTTTGAAGTTTTTGCTTTGGTTGGGTCATCTTTTCTGACTGTGTCCCCATCTGTAGCTTAGCAAGAATACCAGTTGCAGAAGATGATGCCACTTCAATCTAGATATCCTCAAAAGGCACATATATCCCCGAGGTCTGTTTTAGGTTATGCCAGACCTCACTGTCATCACTGGTGATGAGAGTTGCACTGTATTTGAGAACAAAATGGAAGTTGGTTATGTTTGTTGACAGAGTCGGGTGGTTGAAACAGTCAAAACCCTCATTCAAAACACAGGAACATGCTGTCACAAAGTAAACATAGCGGCTGAAGCAGAGAAGCTTCACTTGAATGTTGTTCTGTAAGAATACTGATAGCAGACAAACAGGTGAGAGAAAATATTTTAGACCCAGTACTATGCATAAAGGACCAGAGTCTGTGACAAGAAAAAAAAATCTGCTGGTGTTTAGATTCTTGCTGCAGCGAAGGAACAGGATTTCTGCAGCCTTTCCAAGTAAATAGCATTGCTATTAATAAATACCTTCTTCTCTCATCTGTTTCTCGTCTAAACTGGAACACCTGCAAGAATTCACATTCTGGCTAAACACTTGTATCTAAAAGATAGAAGAAGAAGCATCAGCCATGGATCTACATTAAAGAAACCCATGAATAGCTTAAATTCTGCTGGTGTAAAACACCAAGACACAACAGAGAATGAGGTTTAAATAATATTTTGTATTCTCTTACAGCTTGTTCTAAAGCATATGATAGTTTCAAGTTTTTATAGTCTTGATGCAACCGCTCAGTGTTGTATCTCGCTTCTGGGCCGTGGGCGGCTGCTTTTAGAAATTGTTCTCCTTCCTATGCAGAGTATTGTGATTTTATGTGGCAGATATGCATCAGGAGAATATTAACTTGCTAAGCAAAGAGAAAATCTAAATCCGTGAGTACAGTAAATTAATGTGTGGTCAATATACTATCAGATTTGAAGTATAAAGTTGTGGGTTATTTTTGCTCTTCCTGTTGACTTGTAATATCATCGAGGGTGAATTTACAGTGATCTTTCTTCTAGTAATGTAGAAGTGGCAGAACTTCCTGGCAAAACCCAGCTGAGAGTGTGGAAGTGATTTAAGGCAAACCTACTCAGCTTCTCTGAGGAGATAATGAGTTCTGCTCTTCCTATGGACTACCCAGTGTCAGTTCCTCTCTTTTGTGACTGCCAGGACTGTTAGATATCCTTTGCCTCCTAAAGGGTAGATCAACACCAAATACTTTCTAAATTGGTTGCAACCTTTGATTGCCAATTCCTTTTAGAAACTCCAAATGACTTCAGGAGCCCCAGCCTACTTATTTTTCTTAACATTTTAGGGTGTAAATCACTTGTGAGAATAAAGTCAATTAGGTGTCTGATTTTTTGTGTGTGCCAGAAGCCAGGGACTTTTATTTTCTGTCCACACACACACGTACTTGCACCTGCTTCAGCTTGTATGCCTCTGGAGAGAAGGGCCACATTCTTTTTCTGTCCACTTATATTCATGTATAGGTCCCCTCCTTAGATCATCTTTGCTTGTTAGGGGTGAGGATACTTTCTCTGTCAATTTAATATTTTTATATGTGAAAAGAAAAGCCTTTTTTCCCCCATTCTAAAACTGCTTTAATTGCAAAGAGCTCTGAGTTTCATCTCTTTAATAGAATTTAATCCCTGTTCTTGCAATCTGTGCAGGTTTTGGTTTCAGATCATCGCTTCATGGGAAGAAGGATCTGATGCCATTATTGCTTTTGACAATGTCTCCCTTAGTCTGGACTGCTATTTAACAAGTAAGTTTTCCTTTTATCTGCAAGTGACTTGTCTTTTATTTGGCATGTAATTGAAATTTGGAAAGGGGTTGAAACTGTGGGGAAGGGATTGGGTCTTGTTATCTTCAAAAGATTCTTGAAATGTAAAGGTATGTTTCAGAAATAACTGTGCTTAGATGGAGGAGACTGTTCCGATGCATACCTTATTAGTGGAGCCGACCAGTGAATGGGTTCTGAGTTTGGCAGTAAATGGGTAGTAAGACATATGGTGTGGGAGAGTCAGCTTCCAGCTGAGACAGTAGCATCACCTATCCACCCAGGCTGATGCAGAAGCCAGTCTGTGATTATAGAGTTCCACATGACCTGGTTTGCTGTGTGACAGTTATCAAAATGAATGACAGTAGGAACACTAACTTTGCAATAACATTGGGCACAATACTCCAGTTAAATTAGAACAAGGTTATTTTATTTGGACTGACATGCATTTAAGTCTGAATCAGAAACTAGGATCTTCACTCTGTCCTACTCTTGGGAAAAATTTGGATTCTGATCCAGACTTTGTGATTGACTGGCCTCTAGAATATGCCTAGTCTATAACTCTGCTGCCAGATTTCACCCCATTTAGATTTTTATTGAGCATTTATGTCTGGCTCATCTTTCACAATCTCATGCATAGTGAATTGCTTAATTTGTAAATGTGTTCAATGATCTGTCACTCTGTACCTCAGCCCAACAACTTACGTGAGGATTGGGGGATTGCTGCTCTGAACACATGAAACTTCTACCTTGGGTCGAGCAGTAGAACTTAAGTGTGTTCTTTCGTCTCCTAGGCTTGGAGCTACAACTTGTGTAGCCCTGGTCAGATTGAAAACCTCTAAGCCACTTCCTCATCCAACAGCAGAATATTTCATCTGCTTTGTGTTATATTAATTTGCATTGCTGGGGTTTTCCATTTACGCGGTGATACTCCTAGGTTTCTGTGCATAAGTACAATGTATCTCAGGTTCCAGTATTCTAAAGAGATCTTAAAATTAGGCTGTAATTAAAAACGATTGCGCATACTTTTATTGGCTAAAAGAGAAACTTTCTAACAGTTGCTAAAGTTTGTATTCTATATTTCTGCTTTGTGGCTTCATTCACTTGCTGTTTTGCCCACCACTCATTCCTGTTTATTTTTCTTTCGTCACAGTCCCCATTACAGCAATGGAAAGTCAATCTGCTCTTTCCTTTTAATAGCATTATATTCTGTGACTGCAGGCTCTTATTCGCAGCAGAGAAGCCTCCAACCCTTAATTTAGCTTCAGTTTTGGATTATGTACTGACTCAGCCACCCTCAGTAATAAACCAATCTGTGACTTCTTGGTTTCTAGTCAATGGAGAGAAGACACATCGAGTTACTACTCCAGACTCAAGCAATTTGTTCACCAGTAGAGGTGGCCAGAAGAAGTTTGGATGGGAACAAAAGCTGCTGGGAAATCTCCAACTCAACACTGCCCCCATTTCTGGTCCAGCAGGTAATTGTGTGGTCTGAGAAGCATTTTCAGACAGTAGAGATTTCCAACTAGTACAGGTTTCAGTTAGATGTGGCTAAATGCAGTATGATTCCTTTATTTATTTATTTTTTTTTACCAAAGCCTTGGTTCAGAGCTGTCCTGGTTTCAGCCAGGAAAGAGTTAATTTTCTTTCTAGTGATTGCCATGAAAGGAATGTGAGCAATGCATATTGTTTTAGTTGTTGCTAAGCAATGTTTATGCTTTTCAAGGACTCTTTTCAGCTTCTCATAGATGCTGAGAAGCCTAGGCAGAACAACAGAATGGGCAATGGAATATTCTGTATCATAGAGCTCATGCTCAGTATATAAATAGGGGCGGGAATCCAGAATCTCTGCTCTGGGTGGTGCCAATTCACCACACGGTGAGAGTGACTTGTGACATTTATTACTGTTGTTATTATTATTGTTATTTTCCTTTTCTGTTATTGTTTCTATTAAACTGTCTTTGTCTCAACCCACAAGGTTCTTCCCCCTTCCCCCATCCCTTCCCCGGGAAGGGGGAGAACTACATGAGCAGCTGCATGGTCCTAGCTGCAGCCTGGGGTTAAACCACTACAAGAGCTTTTCCAAAGTCCCTTACAAACAAAACAAAACAAGCTCTAGAAGGCAATTAGTTTTGGCTGTTAACTGTAACTTGGATGTCAGTTACAAGCTGGTGAAAGAAAGAACGAGAGGGAGCCTCTTCTTGGAGTAAAAAGTTCTTTTAAACTAAGACAGGTTTGTTTGGTGTCACAGTCATTTAACAATAGGCAAGAATCAAAGCAAAGTGTCCAAATTGGCTGAGTCCAGCATGTGGTAACCTGAACATCCATCTCTAGTTAGTACAGGCTTGGTTTGAAATAACATAGCTTCTCTTCTTCAGTAATATTTTCATTGCCTATTTGAAAGAGTACAGCACTGAACTTTGTTTTAAAAACATGATTTTTAGTTAGTTAGAAATGTCAGTCTTCTATGGTCAATGTTATTTCGTTCTCCCCTGTCCCCCAGCTCCCCCTTTCCAGCTTGAGTGTAGCAGCCTGGGCCAAACAGATGCAAGATTTCCATGCCCTCCCTTTCCATCACTGCCTCCCAAATGTTTGTTTCTTCCCTCTCTCAGACTTGCCCACGCACTCGCAATATCTGTTTTGGGCTCTACATGTGAATTTCTATTTCAGTCTGCTTCCTTCCCTCCTCCTTGCCAGCTTCGCTTCCTGATTTGATTCAGGTGGCCACAACCTCCAGCCTACCATGGGAAGCAGGGCTGACTGTGGAAATGAGGGGTGACTACAGGAGGGACAAGCACTTGCTATAACTGCCACCTTCAGCACTGTGTGCAGCTGTCTCTCCTCTAGTAGAGCTAGCTAGTTACATACCAATTTGAAATACTATCCCTCTTAAGGTAGAGAACAGGGGGGTGGTTGGTATATGGCTCCTTTACTTTTGTCGTGAGCCCAGGGATTTGTTCCTGCTGCCGCCTCGTCTCCCACTCCTCCATCTTAGAAAGACTTTTTTGAGTCTGTTCTATTCTAGGTTATGTTTCACTTTACTACCAGCAGCGTACTGTTGAAATATATGAACTAGTGGTGTTAGTTCTGATACCAATAGCAGTCTGGTCAGTGTGGTCAAAAGCTCCACACAGTCTTCAAAGCCTGCCTGAAAAGCTGGATGTATTAGCCCACCCCATGCTGCTGCAGCAGGGCAGCTGCTGGCACCTGAACTCTCTTGCGAAGCGGGCTCTGGCACTGGAGGCTGATGATACAGTCTGCAGCGTAGGCCAAGAGTTGCCATCAAGTAGAGTTTATTGATATTTTATGTACTGAGCATCATACAGCAAAAGAAGTGCAGGAGCACTGACAGGAGTCTCAGGAGAATGAGAGAGAGGGAATGAGCGCGTATGAGAGGATGCTGGGCTGGGTGGACCCGTGCTTTAGCTGTAAAGATTGTGTCTAGCTCTGTTACAGATGATGTGTGTGAGCTTGGGCTGGTCACAAAGGTATAATTTCTAAAAAGACCCTTACATCCTCTTTGCAGATCCTTTGAAGTGTTCTCTTCGATATCTGTATCTCTGTTTCCTGCCTGTAAGTGGAGCTGCCTTTTACTTTTATGTGCTTTCAGTATTGCTCTTAGGTCAGTGATCTTGTAGTAGGATCCACACACAGGTGTAGACTGTGGACTTGTGGCTGACTTTCCATAGCAGTGTCAATGCTTAGTTCCCTAAGGCAGCTGTATGTTTCCTTCCAGCATACCTACTGTTTTAGTAACACAGAAGCCATTAGATACCAGGTTCAGATTGGAGAATGGCCTGAAGTTTGGATGCAAAGTTAATGTAAAGTGGATGTGTGGATGTTAGGCTAGAAATCTTGTGGCTGTAGGGTTTTTTTGAGAAATTTGTTACTTCCTACTTCTCACTAGACCTGAAATGATGGAACATGGAACATCTAGCTCTTCCGCTCCCTGTCCTATTTGAGGAACACAATTTAAAGAAATGCTTGGATAGTAGAAATAAAGGGAGTCAGATTGCATAGGGGTAGAACAGAAGGTCACCGGTACTTTGAGCAATTCAAATAATTTGTTATGACCTTGGGGTGAAAATTCAAGGCAATTCCTGTGGTATCTAAGCCAGCTTGCCTAATTTCTCGGCTTGATCCTCAGTCCTGTTCATGTTCTGTTTAAAATTGTCTCCAGCCCTTGAGGTTTGAAATCACTTCTTCAGCAATTTTCTCCCCTTTATGCCCTCAGTGTAGACAGGGCAGAAATGGGAGAAGCTAAGCTGCAGCTTCTTGCAGTGGGAAGTCATTGCATTTCTGAGGGTCTCCACAGCACCAAATCACCTTTTTCCTTTGTGTTGCTGATTCCCTGTTCTCAGCAAACACTGCAGATGCTTGTTTCGTCCCTGGGCTATGCATTTTACCCAGCTTTAATCTTGTTTCTTTCTTCATCCTGTAATACATTAAAGAAACCTCAGGCTGAGTCTGTCAAGGCCTTTACTTTGATGGCCACGTATTTACTGTTGTGTGAGTGAACCAACAGCATCAGCAGCATTCTAAAGTCGCAAAGACTGCATTGACCAATATGAGCTCAGCCAAAAGTAATTACAACTAATGTGATCTTTGGCTTGTGTGATGGATCACAGGCTATAATATTTCCTCCTTAAGAAATCATATTAAAACAAAGAAATGTGTTCCCATAGCTGAGAAGGCAACAGGATAATAAAATGCCCTTCCCAAGTCCCCTCAGCCTACACAGCAGGAACTACAATCTGAAAGACAGGTACCACTTTCTTTACATGACAATAAATCCAAAGAAGCTCCATTGCTTTCAAGGGTATGGGCCTCCATTTGCTCCTTTGTAACTGAGAACAACCTCTTACATGCACCTGCTGGTTTGGCTTGTGCTTGGAAATCAGTTCTCAGCAGAAGTGGTAGTCATAACCACCAACCTCCCTGTCCTTTCTCAGGCACTGTACCCAATGAATTACTTCTTCAGGTTTGCCAGTGCTTATTGTGGCTTGGGGTGCTTCCAGGATAGGTACCCCGAAGGTTCAAAGCACATAATGCAGCTGTGCTGTGAAAGATCCTAAAGCTTCCATAAATCTGTTAACCACTGTCATGTATCACACATGGGATGATGAATGCACTGTGTAGAGAATAAGACCCAAAATTGCTACAACTAATGTGGTGGTATTGCTCTCAAGTTTCTTGATGATGACCAGGACCAACGCAGAAAAATTCTTGTGGGTTTCAAGTCACATTGTTACTTGCAGTCTTAGTTATCCATGAGATAGATGATCACCAAGCAATGGAAATGCTTTCCTTTTCAATTAATTAATGACACGTTATTTGCTGACATATCAGCTTCTTGCTGAAAGGTTGCAGGTAAAACTTGATTCTAAAAGAAGCCTGCAAAAAAGTTTTAAGAAAAGCTGTGTGTACCAGAAGATTGCAACAACTTCAGTGGAACTAGGACTTTTGATTGAAATGGTTAAATCCGTGCACTGTATATTTTGATGTAAATCAAGCTTACTTTGGCTTCATTTTTAAATTGATTAGGTATTAGTTTAAGTAAAACTGAAAGCTGCTCAAACCGTAGCATTTCTCTACAGGGAGTTTAACTACCAATTAAAAAGCCAATTTATATCAAACCAGTGCAATTTCCTTTTATAGACAAGGCCAGAATATGGGAATTTCAGGCATATAAAGATACAGGGAGCAATAATGAGGAACTCTAGGTAAACAAATTACTATCATGGAAACTGGAGGAGACAAAATAGGATTCTCACTAGGCGAAAGGAGATAACAAGACACAGAGCAATCAAGCTTTAATTAAAGATTTCTGGTGCTTCTGAATAGGCTGTAAATACCATGAGGATAGCCTCTTTTTTGATGTTTCAGCTTCTCATCTGTCCCACTGACAACTTACTCGTGTCAGGGCACACAGTACAAAAATGGTGTGTTGTGAAATGTACAAAAAGATTAACCTTCTTTCCCCTCAAATCTTGCATTGTTTTGTCCCATCTGATCTGCATATCCATCAGCCATTGTGTGACCATGGTTTCTTGCATGGAAACTGTCATCAAATCATTTTCTCATCCAGACTGGATTACTGTTTTCCTTCAGCTCCGATCTCTTCCTCACAACACTTAGCGGTTGCACAGATTTTGTCTTTTGCATCAGGGAGAGTCCTCTTACGAGTACTTACATGGCTGTTTCTCGGAAAAACTCTGAGTCACATTAGTTAATCAGATGAAGGAGCTGAAAGGAACAGCGGAGCGAGTATTAAGTAAAAGAAAATTACATTTGGTTGCTCTTTGTGTGCAATTATACTAACTGAACTGTTGGCATAATGCAATAAAGGTATCTGCAGAATTGTATTTTTGTATTAAGCGTCAATTAACACAGTGAGTAACAGCTCAGTGCCCTGCCCCCAACAAAAGTAGCATCCTGAATAGTGATAGAAAATGCTCAGAGACGGGTGGTGGGATCT